ACAGATGTTGATTTTTCTGATCTCTTTTACTGAAAAGGTTATATTGTAGCCCAGCTGAGAACTTAATAAAACATTTAAGAAGCTCATTAAACTGTCAATTAAAAAAGCATATTATGATAGGAAAATGACAGGAATGGTTTTATTAATTGCTAGGGCAAAGAAAATGGCTGACTTGGTTATAAAGTTAATAGAGAAAATAATATACATTTTACATTTTTACAAGTCATTTTTTTTTTTACAGTATTAAAATAACAAGCTGTGGTCCCTGAAATATTCAGCTCTTGCAGAATGACTTCATCTTTCAATTTTTCAAGTGAGGTCAATATAACTAATTATTGTGAAGCTTTCATTACAGTGGGGCAAAGACAAAAATTTGTGATAATCAAATGGAATCTGAATAGTTCCCAGCATATTATATATTCCAAAACAGTGTGGTATGGTTGAATGGGAGACAGACAGATGTGCAGCAACATTTCCAGTATTCCTTTATATGTATTTACTATACAGTGCCAATTTGAGATGACTCTGAATCTATCCTTTCGTTGAGTAGTAGAAATTTAACTATGCCATGTAGCATGAAGTTATTTCTTTGAATGTAGACATTCCTGTTACTAGGGTTTGGGAGTTCTGACTGTGGTGCTCAGTAGAAAAAAGAAGAAGGTATCAGCTTGTTGGGGAGATCATCTTATTTTGCATACTGGAAAAAGAATTGAGAAAAGTAACCCTATGAGATAACTCTCAATTGTGAAAAAAGAACAGAGATTATGGAAGAAGATGTGAAGCAAAACATTTTTAAAAAGATGGGGAACATTTTAAATTATATACAAATAAAGCTTGGTAATGCCTAGTAACTACAAAAATCTGCTGAAAAAGAGAAACAAGACCTGACAGCGGGCTAGCTGGTTGTCTGGCTTGAATATTGATGGACTCAGCATTGGAACACTCTGTTCTAGGTGTCAATGTGTGCATGCGTGCACATATAAAAATATTATCAGCCTCTTGTGATTGTTCACTATGCTATTTTTGTGTTTCTTTTTAAATTTTCTACTTAAGGTGTTGGTATATGCATTTAACAGCAATCATACTGCATTTATGCAATGTTGCTTGAACGATCCCTAGGAAAAAAATAGAAAATATCTGATGCCTAGTTGTAGTATAAACAATTACCATACATATTCATCCTTTGAAATTTGACTACATTCTATTGTTGTTTCTAGGTTCTACAGGTGGTAAACAGTCCGCTGGTGGACTTTCAAGAGGGACTAAGGAAAGTGACCAAGTACCCCTGGAGTCCCAGGAGGTCATCTCCTTGAAAGAAAGAATGGCTTTGTACCAGGCCGCTGCATCTAAAGCAGAGATCAGCAACTCCTCTGCTAATGTAAGAAATCTGCTTTTTTGCCTGCAGATTTACATCATCCATTCAGACAGCTTTTATACAATTAGATCAATTATATTTCAACTTGGCTTTCATTTCTGAGACCTGTGTCAAGAGAAGTGGTTTTCTCAGCTTTGGTTTGCACTAATGTTCAGTTGCTGAGTTCTTTTTACTATAAACAAATGTACAAATGTGCAAATTCTTTCTGGCAAACTCTTTTTTAAAAAAGTCATTTATACTGAAAATTTTGATTACAATAGTAAAAGCAAATGCAAACTAAACTTGGAGAGAAAAAGAGAGATAGAAAGAAAGAATAAAAGGTGCAAGAAAAGAAAAAGAGAAAGAGAAAAAGGGAAAAGTAAGAAAAAAGAAAAGAAATATATAAAGAAGTGACTTCCAGTCTTCATCACAACAAGTATAAACAAACTTAATGACTCTTCACCCCTTTCTGGCAAACTCTTAAATAAACAGCATCTAAATAAAACTTGCTCTATGTTAGATGAGCAATATGGAGAATTTGGTGAAGACAAAATTGACAGATTGTCCACTCCTCTGCTCAGTGTTAAAGTAAAACCTGTTTATGCATAATCTGTGAGAGGCTTGAATATAACTTAATGTAAACAGTTAAAAAAAAGAGTACCATAATATCATGATCTACCATCTGTCATACCCCCCTTCTGTTACTCACAAAAAGTGTATTCTTGTTTTCTACCCTATCCTGATATCTTTGAATAATAATATAATCATAATAACAGTAGAGAAACTTCCAAGATGGCCATTACCTAAATTCAGAATTCTGTTTTGACTCTTTCCTTCCCCCAAAGCAAAGCTTCCTAAATAGCATACCCAGAATGAAATGCAAATTCTTAGGGATAAGTGGACATGGTGGGACTATTTGAAGGAGTGAGAATTGATTGCCCAGCCAGGTGGCAGTGCCTAGCTGACCTTGGCTGATCTCAAAAAGCTAAGGAGGATCAGATAATTCAATTATTTACTGTTGCCAAGAAAGTTGTATGAACATATGCATAAAGTCACCATGAATCAAACTTGAATCAAAGGAGACTTTACACTTAAGAATTGATTGTGTACCAAGAATTGATAAGAAATATTAAGAAAGACTCATTCTATTTGCTGCTAAGGGACAACAAACATGATTAGGAAATAGACTCTTGGGGCTTGCTCTGAAGGTGTAACTAATTCCAGGAGAGTTCAGGAAAATAAATTGCTCTCTGCAAAGATAATAATGTGGGTCAGAGGGATCACTGCTGTGCACCCACTTGGGTGCCTATTTTCTGCTCAGAAATGCTGACTTCCACTCTGTCAGAAAGAACTTCTCTAAAATTAAACTTTATTTAGCTGCACATGAGCATTCACATCTAAGACACATAAAATAAAGTTTGGAATCATTTTACTTCGAAACATTTTGGGAAAGCCAAAGAAAACAAAGGTCACACAAACATCATCGCATCAAAAAGTCAGGCAAACATTTAAGCAATTCATTTCATAACTCAAGGAGACTCTTCAATAAGTCAAATTAAGGATAGATAAAAGATGCGTGAAATAAGCCCATACAATGCATTAGTTACCATATTTTTCCGACTATAAGACGACACTTTTTTCTAAAATCCTTACGCTAAAAATTCAGGGGCATAGAAGGCAAGGAAGTAGGCCAAAGAAAGACCCGCGCGGTTGCAAAACTGCCCATGCTTTGTCTCTGCAAACAGGCTTC